TGACATGTGATATGGACGCTTGCTAGTGATTGACTGACGGAGATGAGAAGAATGGCTGTCTCTTATACACATCTTAAAATACATTGTTGAGATTGATTTTACCCGCGGAATTTACAGCCCTCATTTTAGAACTTACAATTCTAATAATTCTAATTGATATGCAATCCTGCCGAACTGCTGATTATTAATTTGCATTTCAGGTTGAAGTGAACAACCTACTGCACGACTTATTCAAGTGTGACTATCGACATCAAGAAGACTACCTGCGTTTTGCTTTCATGAACGCCGACGTGTTCTCTCGCAACAGCAGACTGTGGGCGATGTGCACTGCTTTGCCACGTACCAAGTGCTACGCTCCGGAGATTCTGGGCAAACTGTGTGGGTTGTTCCCTATACACGTGGCCAAGCTGGTCAGAGTGAGGCTGTCATACCTGGAGGTGCAGTTGTTGGACCCGCGAGTTGTGGTGGTGTGGCTAGTGAGAGACCCTCGCGCCATGATGAATTCGAGGCTTTCGAACGTCGACTGGTGTAATACGAACTCCTGTAATAACCCCAGAGTGGTTTGTTCTGATCTCTACGATGATTATTTGAGTTATTTAATACTTAAAGAAAGATATCCTGATAAGATTATGGTTTTGAGGTACGAGGACTTTGCAAGAGATGCTTATAACAGAAGTAAGCAGGTTCTGGAGTTCGCTGGCCTTGGTTTTCACGAAGAGGTAATTTCGTACCTCGACGAGCATCTGAACAACAACGTTGAGTCTCCATGGAGCACAAAACATGAACCCAAGTCCACCATGGGACGGTGGCTGAAGACCATGAAATGGGACGAGGTTGTCAAAGTTCAGAAACATTGCAGGTCGTACATGAAAGCCCTCGGGTACCGAATATTTCAGTATCCCCACGAATTGGTCTCTGGCAACACAGTGGGGCTGTTGAATATGCCCCTTTGAAAACACGATCAAATTGACTTGTTTGTTGTTAGTGTAGCAACTTGTCCAAATGAGGATATAGTGTAATTGTTAACTTTAATATGCTTAGAAATAAGACCGAAACAATGCTGGATTGCGGTTGAGGATTTTGGCTATTAGGCCGTGATAGAAGACAAGTTAATAAAATAAATAAAATAGGGCAGAGATTTATGGCCAATGAAAATACGAAAATAGTAACTCAGCTACTCAGAAAGAGTAATTAATGGAACTTTGAATAATTCTTTAGCCCAATGATATGCAGAAATGAGATGAACTACATAGATTTTAAAGGTCGAAATAATTCAAGTTTAGGTCTCAGATATTTTTTCATGGAATTTGGATGATCTGATGTTAATTTTACCAATAACTAACCACGAATCGAGTACCGTTTACAATTTAACCAATAAAGACCAACATACCAAGGAAAATATTTTTTAGGACAACAAATGTGTAGGCCGTTAATTAATCTTGATGAATGCTAAAAAAATACGACATGCTTCCCGAACACTCATCTGAAACAAATTTTGTATGAAAATATGATCTGAATGGAAAAATTTATAGACAAAACAGAAGAACAAGGCTTTACTCACGGAAAAATGGATAGACAAAATTTAAATGCTTTCCATACGCTTATCAAAATGAAATTAAATAGTTAACATGGATATTCCTTATTAATGGATGAATTCATAGTAAAATTAAGGAAGGCTTTCTTTCCACTTATGTGAAGCAAATTTTTTATTGTTTTGCGGTCACTCATTGCAAACTGCGGGAAGCAGGTCAAATTGAAGGGATAACAAGATATTTAGATAAAGATATGATACATTTATTTGAAATCCTAAACTAAAAACAACTAAGATAAAATGTGTCAGAGGGGTACATTTGTCAATAGAAAATGTGAAACTTTCCCTTTTCGTACATGTATCAAATATTTCCATTTGACTTTAATTAAAATCTCGTAGAAATCGAGAGGCCATTTTGATGAAAATCAGGACGTACTTTAAATAAGATTAGTGAATGGAGAGTACATCACTATTGCTCTGGATTATTAGGTATGTAGTTCATTATTACATATTCATATCATATTATGTAATTCATTCATTCACTCATATTATGTAATTCAGATGATCTATGCAAGTTACATTGAAAAATTGTATAAATTGTATACGAATTATTCATGTCCAATAAACGCAAGAGATAAATACTGAAAAAATCTTATTTATGCAGTATTAAATATTATATGGAAACGGCATGTATATTTCAAACAAACACTGCATTGAAGTGAAAGAATTTCTCGCCAGTGTTTGCTCATTCAGTCGCTACTCCAAATAATTTTTATTCGATATAATTTTATTCGATCGAATTTTACTCAATTCGATATTATTCTATAGAAATTTTTTTTCGATATAAATTTTTTCTGATACAAATTTTATTCGACATGACTTTCTAAGTGAATATGAGCCAAAAAAATCCCTTGCAAAGTCCGTTGTAAGGGATTTGTAAAGGTTATTGCAGAATTAAAAACGTTGATAATTGAAATGAAATAGGAAGATTAATCAAATTGGCAAAAAACCCGACGCTCGTTTGAAGAGAAAGATTTCGGAACTCAAAATTTTCCTTTCTGGCATTTCGGTGTTATCAAAAACAGGAACATTATTGCATGTCGATAAAGACTTGAATCTTATTATCAATAAATGAAATTTTATAGACTATGTATAATCCGGCTGGGATAATTTCACCGATGTAATAGATTGTATCAGGTAATGCAGTGTTAGCATAAGCCCTTCCACACACCGTTAACTAGTGTCTAACGGACCTTACGTTATCTTCTATTACTAAGTGTTCCTTATTAGTAACTGAACAAATGATCATCTTATAAAGCTACATCAAAAGAATATATCGTTCAATATTGAGTGATATTACTTGGTCATCAAGGTTTAGATTTTACGACTCTCCAAATTAAGTGCTGTGCCATTGCGTCTACTTAAACATAAAATTCTACTTCTGTGTTAACATTAGGACGCATATGCTTCACCTGCTGACAAATCACTTCTCATCATTCTATGCCTATCGTATCCAATCATTCTACGTATCATTCCCTATCGTTCTACATATCACTCCCCATTGTTCTACATATCACTCCCCATTGTTCTACATATCGTATCCCATCGTTCAACATGTCGATCATTCCCCATTGTTCTACATATCATTACCACTATTTAGAATCAATTCATGTATCAATATGCAGATAGGTCATGATTAACAGCTTGAGCATTGCGTTAGTAGTACATTACAGTATACAGTATACTGTATATTATACTGAAGGTTTGTCGTTGATATTTTTAGTACTACATTATAAGCGCACAGTACTTAAGATCAAAGAAGGATCCAGCCTAATTTGTTTGATATTATTCATTATTTTTTAATATTCTGGCCTGCAGGAGATAAATGATGACACAGATCCTTAAATTTTGTGTGGTTTTAGAAACGAAATATTTTCCTGATTTAAAATAAATCTTTCGGCCCTTAAATATATAACTGGTGTAATTTTTGTCACTGATCGTTTGATAAACTCTTTTTGATATCACGATGATAGAGGCTGAGTTGCTTGATATGATCCAACAATGACGTAGACAAATTACTTCCCTTAGCTTAAGTACTGTGCAAAGTAGCATGAGGGGTACAGCATGTGTCTGTGATAGAGTGCACTTCGTCGTAGGTATATAATAGCATGATATTATGTATTATAATAGCATGCTATGTATCACAAATATTATAAATGTAGTAAACATTTCTAGTAGATAAAGCACACTAGCGAACGCAACCACCCTTAGTTCTAAGGCACTAATCCTGCCATGCGAGAACGCGCGTCTAGCGCTTAATTCAGTAGAGCGTAAAACTCTTAAAATTTTTAAATAATCTAAATACTCTCAATAGGAATAACATTCGAGCATTAGTCTTTTTCATTCAAATAACAAAAAACTTATTTGTTTCATTGAAATTTTGTGGTATGAAGTTCCTTAATTATGAACATGGCGCTATGGGTAATCTGCCACGTCATTTTCTTGATTTGTATACGCCACGGCCTTCACAGGTCGAGCGTAATTACTGAGAATACTACAATATTTTTAATGTTAAAGTTTTCTTTATTCGATTGCACATTGAGCATAGACTTTAGATTTATGTTGTTTTTATGAGCGGACTGCTAAGGAAGCTGTTGCCGTTGTTCACATGAGAGTTCAATAAAACAAGGCCAACTCGATGTAGCCAAATTCGTTAAAATTCAGGTGGCAACTAAATCAATAAGTTTCAATTTTTCCCACTTGGCACAGTAATCATTGATCTTGCCCAGAACAAGCGTAATGCTTAGTTATCACATGTATAATAAATTTGAATAACTTATGAGATCCACCCCTAGGTTAATGTTATCAATGTTCGATCAAGTTCTGTTCTAAGCAAGAATCACCGGATTGGAAGAGCTTTAGATTTTTTAATGGATAAGGGATAAATTTGAAAGTTATAATTACAAACAAAAGGTATAACTCAGTACTCACTGCAGTGAGTGACAAAAAGCGCATTTTCTCGTCGACGAAAACGTGGAGTTACGGACGGACAGACAGACAGACGGACGGACAGACGGACGGACATGACGTGCACAATAGCGCCTTTTTTCCATAAATGAGAAAATGTGCAAATGTAATTGTTTTACATACTCTGCAAAATTTTAAGTTTAGTTTATTCTAAATATAGAGATCAAACATTGAATTTCTTAAATTTTTTAGGATTTTAGACATAAATTATTCAACATGTATTCAACATAGCATATCTGTAGGTCGTGGTTGCCTTTTGATAACTGTTGCCAACGTTTTTGCCAACAATATAGTTTGATAAAAACTTCTCCTTTGTATTTTCTTATCTTAACGAAAATTCTACGAATGGCTTTTAGCCAATGAAATTTTCGGCTTTCAAAATTACTTATCTTTTCGGGTTGTGGGCTTGAGGATACTCAGTTTACGATACCTCAACCCTTGAGTTTTATCGAGAAATCGAGTTTACGATACCTCGATTTCTTCAATATAAATCGAGACAATATAAATCTATTGTGAGAGAATTTTCTTTTGAAGTCAAGCATGGCAAGCGTTTTCGACGAACCAACGTAATCACTTCACAGTTATTCCTCACTATTCCTCCTTAGTTGTGATAGTGAACCATTCCTCCCAGAGGGATGGGGAGATATGAAGAAGGAACTACTCCATGCAATTGGTGACATGAGAGGAAGGAACAAGAAGGGTAGAGAGATTATATCAAGGGAAGAGGGACTATGAGTAAAAGAATCGGCAACAGGCCATGGGCCTATTTCTTCAGTGCCGACACTTCGATTCTATTCTATGCCGAAGTAAATTTTTTCATTTTTTTTTAGTTTTTCGTGCGAAGGTCTTGATGAATGAAATTAGTATACTGTCATCATGCAACGATCGATATATTTACAAGCGTCATGCAGAGTGACAGATATTGAGAGAACATATGATTATATTGAACTGAATTTGATATAATCGATGCCTACATTCTCGATCAATATCTAAGCAAATGATTTTTATTTCTTATTTCAAATTTCGGTATCATTCTTACGCAATATTGATTTTTTATTTTTATGATATGCCCACGTTCACACTTGAACTCTGTTGCAATTGATTCACTCATAAAATTTTTGTTTGTTTTCCCAATCTCGACCTTCGATAATTTTTCTTTCAATTATTTCAATTTCTTTATTAAGTTTATTTGCTTCGTACGTTCTGAAATTCCTCGATTTCTTTCTTTGGAACCTACGCATCATTTGATCGTGAAGACTTTGGTTTTTGCCTTCACAAGAACGTTCATTAAGGGGTAATGCATTGTATTGATCAATATCAGGGCGCATAACGTGTTCTTTTAAATCGGTCAAGTTGTACTTCCTAGGCATCGTCAATTCTCTGCCAAGATTTTGATACTTTTTTCCGTTTGCACCGAGCGCATTGGTTTTTTTATTCGAAAATGAACATTGGCAATTGTCCGTCTGCTTGGTAAACTCGGATCGTTCTTCTTTCTCTTTAAAATTTTCACAGTTACGGTATTCTATTCTATTGTATTTTGTAGATCTCTTGTTTATTTCCAGCAACTGCGAGAAGATAAGATTATTTTGTCTCATCCCATCGTCTGGATATTCGTTTATTGGACTTTGACTAAGCCCCCCGGAAGTTGTTTTCGGATGGCTTGGCTCGCAAGTTGATCGGAAAGCATGAAGGTCTCTCAAAGTCTTTGTGTATGGAGCATTAGTCTCCGAACATCTAACTTTCAGCAAAGTTCTCTTTGAAGTTGGAGTTCCTAACGTTTCTCTGAAAGGCCTTGGCTCCAATACACAGAGATTTGGGTTTTCTGAAGGATGTTTCGCTCGACTTGATTGCATCTTTTTGTTTGCAGACGCAAACTTTTGAGTTGAAACTTGTTTATTAATTGCTTGAGCGGGGAGCTGATCTAAAGGAAAATGGAGGAAGTTTCTGTCAAAGGATTTAAAGTCCCGCTGATCAACTTCGACCTCCAC